AGATGTATTATTTTCTTATTATATCTACAAAATGATTCTCGGATAGATTTGAGATGATAATATGAACTGTCATAAAACAAATTAGTTAAAATATGATTATTTCGTAAAACATGAATGAATAAAAATATAGTCAAATGATTAATAATGATATTAATCTATTTAATACTTGATTGAAAATATGAGAATATATACAATGTAATTGTAATTGAAGACTACGAAATGGAAGCACAAAACAATTTGTAAACCAACCGGCACACTGTATGTATATATATGGAAGATGGCTTGATGTTTTTATGTTTTGTTTGTTTATGTTTGTTTTAAAAACCAATAAAAAATTTTTTTAAAAAAAACCCGCCATTGATGGAGCATCCACAACTTCTGGAGGCAAACTGTTTCATTGATTAATTCTACGCACTGTCAGGAAATGTCTTAGTTCTAGGATGGTTCCTTGGTTAGTATCCATCCATTGTTTCTTGTCTTGCCTTGTGGTGCTTTAGAAAATGGACCCGCTCGTCATAAAGGCAGCCCTCAAATATTGGAACACTGTTATCATGACACCTCTAGTCCTTCTTTTCCCAATTCCTGCAACCATTCTACATGATTTAGCCTCCAGCCCCCTAATCATCTTTGCTGCTCTTCTTTGCATTCTTTCTAAAGCCTCAATATCTATTGTGGTGAACAAAACTAGATGCAATATTCCAAGGCTGGTGTTACCAAGGCATTATAAAGTGGTACTAAGACTTCACGTGATCTTGATTCTCTCTATTAATGCAGCCTAGGACTACAATTCCATTTTGTTGGGTATGGTCCAGTGTTCAAATCTGTCAAGATCCTTCTGAATCTTGAGCCTATCTTCTGGGGTGTTGGCTATTCCTGCTAGTTTGATGTCATCTGCAAATATGATGAATTCCCCTTCTATTCCCTTATCTAAATCATTTATGAAGATATTGGAGTACTCCACCTCTCACTTCTCTCTACATAGGTGTAGTTCTATAGAGGACTATATGTTGAGTGCAGCTGGTCAACCAGTTATGAATCCATCTGGTGTTGATGCTATCTAATCCACATTTTTTCTATTTTACCAAGAAGTAAGGTGTGGTTTAATTTATCAAATGCCTTACTGAGGTCCAAGTAAATTATGTCCACTGCATTTTGCTGATCCCCTAATTTAATTACTTTATCAAAAATGCAATAAGATTTATCTGGCATGATCTGTTTTGGACAAACCCATGTTCGCTTGTGGTTATAAGTTTGCTTCCTTCTAGGTGTTTGCAGATCTGTTGCTTGATTGCCTTTTTCAGGTCTTCCCAAGTATTGATGTCAGGCTGATTGGTCTGTGGTTGATTGACCTGGATCCATTTTTTTTTCTTTTTTGAAGATGACCTTGTTGGTCATCTAGTCCAACCCCCTGCTCATTTGGCAAAATTTTATCGATAGGCATGAATAAAGAATTCAGCTTGGAAAACTCACTATGGATCCTTCTTGGTTTTGGACCTGAAATATTTCCGTCTAGCAACAGTCGAGGAGGGTCTTCTTCTTCTTCTCTGCACCAGTTAAAAGTCCCCAGGGCTGCTCCGCTCCTTCTCCCTGCTGGAACCCAGGATTTCCTGCTGTCTCTGATTATTATGGTGTTGCTGCCTCTTCTTCCCATAATCTGAGAAATCAATCCCTTTCTTGGTCTGGCTGGCCCTCCTCAGCTGGGGATCCACAAAAGTCCCACCGATGGAGCTTGCTAAAAAGACACATTAATTGTCCTCACCCCAAAGGACAGCTGGTCGTTCCCTCTGCGACCCTGAGGACTTGGCTTATTCAAATCCCTGTCAGAGCTTGTATCATGTCTCAAAAGCTTTGTTTCTGAAGGAGGAGGGTGGTTTTAAAATTCAGGAAAGCCAGTTAATAAACACCATGCTTGAAGACTCGCAGTTCAAGCTCTTAAATACTCCAGTCAAGAAACGCAGCTTCTGAGCGTTTGGCTCTATGGAATGTTTTTAGATTAGATTAGATTAACAAGAGTTGGGAGGGACCTTGTTGGGAGGGACATCTAGTTCAGGGCTCACCAACCTTTTGGACCTCAGGGACCACCAAACTCATAACTCTAACCGGTTCTGTGGGTGTGGCCTAATTTGTGGGTGTGGCTTGATGGTCATGTGACTGGCTGGGCATGGCTTGTTTGCAAATATTATAAATATTTATATAAATATTGATTTTTTTATTTTAAAAAGAGCAACTTTTACCCAAAATCAGGCAAAGCAGGCAGGCAGATTGAATTGCTCACAGAATCACAGATTCATTCAGAAATCTATCTATCTGCCATTGGCTAGATCAGTCTCTCAAATTTGCTTGCCGTGAGTCTGCACTGAATAATGGAACCTTCAGTCCTAAGGGAGGTTGGCTGTGCTTAAAAGCAGAGCCAAAGATCTAAAAGACTAGCTAGAAAGCAAGAAATCCAACCATTTCCTGCTTCCTATTTAATCTAAATCTCCCAGCACAGCAGAACAGATGATGGTTGGAAAAAGAAAAAATAGCAATTTAGCAGGCAAGTTTGCCGGGTAAGGAGTGAGTGGCGGGGAGGGTTCCCGCAGGCCATGTGGGCGGCGCAGCCTTGTGTTTTTGCACAGCCTGGATTGTTTTGGGTGGGTGCTCTGGGGGTGAGATTTCTCTGCGGTCCATCAGCGACCGCTGATCTAGTCCAACCCCCCTGCCCAAGCAGGAGACCCTACACCATTTCTGACAAATGACAGTCCAATCTCTTCTTGAAAGCCTCCAGTGATGAAGCTCCCACAACCTCCAAAGGCAAGTTCTGTTCCACTGGTCACTGTCAGAAAAATTCTCCTTATTTCCAGGTTGAATTTCTCCTTGATCAGTTTCCATCCATTACTCCTTGTCTGGCCTACAGGTGCTTTAGAGAATAGTGTGACTTCTTTCTCTCTGTGGCAGCCCCTCAAATATTGGAAGACTGCTATCCTGTCTCCCCTGGTCTTTCTTTTCTCTAGACTAGCCAAGCCCAGTTCCTGCAACCGTTCATTGTATGTTTTAACCTCGTCTCCTAATCATCCTGGTTGCTCTTCTCTGCACTTTTTCTAGAGTGTCAACATCTTTTTTTATAGTGTGGTGATCAAAACTGGATGCAGGACTCTAGGTGTGGTCTTACTAAGGCTTTATAGAGTGATATTAGTACCTCAATTTGCTGTGTTCACAGACTGACGGCAGTCCTCACTCCAGTCCGCCGCCTGCACAGGAGCGCCGACCGCTCCCATTGGTTGATGCCGTTTGACAGCCGGCTATAAAAGGAGCTGTCAAACGGCATCAGCTGTTGCCGCCAGCTGACTGCCAGTTAGCCTCGGCAGCCGCAGCAACCCTTTATTCACTTGAATAAAGCCTGTTAAACGTAAGCCTGTGTCCGTCTCAATCTCTACCGCCGCTCTACAACACAATTGATCTTGATTGTATCCTTCTGTTAATGCAATTTAGGATTGCATTGGCTTTTTTGGCTGCTGCTGCACATTGCTGGCTCGTATTTAGCTGGTTGTCCACTAAGACTCCAAGATCCCTCTCACAGGTACTGATATTAAACCTGGTTTCACACGGTGTATATGTGTTCTTTTGGTTTTTCTTGCCTAAGTGTAGGACTTTTCTCTACATTGAATTTCATTTTGTTAGATAGGGCCCAGGGTTCAAGTCTGGCAAGATCCATCTGGATCTTCAGCCTATCTTCTTGGGTGGTTATGTATTCCTGCCAGTTTAGTATCATCCACAAATTTGGTAAGTTCCCCTTCTATTCTCTCATCTATGTCGTTAATGAAGATACTGAAGAGTACTGGGCCTAAGACGGAACCTTGTGGCACCCCAACTGCTTACTTCCCTCCACGTAGACTTAGACCCATTAAAGACTACTCGTTGAGTTCAGTTTGTCAGCCAGTTGTGAATCCATCTAGTGGTGGTGCTATCTATCCCATGTTTTTCTAGCTTACCATAAAGTAGGTTGTGGTCTACTTTGTCAAATGCCTTGGTGAAATCTAAGTATATAATGTCCACATGATTTTGCTGGTCTACTAATTTAGTCACTGTGTTGAAGAAATAAGATTGGTTTGGCATGATCTGTTCTTAACAAAACCGTGCTGACTGCTAGTTCTTACTTTACTTGTTTCTAGGTGTTTGATGTTAGGCTGATTGGTCTATATAGTTTCCTGGGTGTTTTTTTTCTTCCTTTTTTGAAGATGGGGACCATATCAGCTCTTTTCCAGTCCTCTGGTAGTTCCCCGGTGCTCCAGGATTTTTGAAAGATATGGTGCAGTGGTTCTGAGATGACCTCTGCCAGCTCCTTTAAAACTCTGGGATGTGATCCATCAGGCCCCGGTGATTTGTTTTCATCAAGATCAGACAGGTCTTCTCTTACTATTTTTTTGCTTATTTTAACTTTTATTTCTGGTCTGTCTTTTAGTTATATTTTTGGTGGGTTGGGCTGTAGTTCCTCTAAAAATCCCAGGCAAATCCACGATGCCCTGGAGGAGCTCGGCCAGCCTGAGCTTGCAGGAGGAGAGGCGCCCCCTGGGGAGGTAACGGGCAGCCAGGGGGATTCCCTGGTCCCACCTGCCGGCCTCCACCCGCTGCTCTGTCTACCCTGCCCCCGCCATAAGGGCGCCCCTAGATCTCCGGGAAGCAGGTGGGGAACCCTCGAGGCCATCGAAACTACTCCCCCCCCCCCCGGGGGACGAGCCCAGGCGCCGGAGAGAAGAGGCCGCGGGCAAAGAAAAGCCCGGCCGATTCCGATTCCCTTCGCCTCTCCTCTCTCCCTCCCTCCGGTTGGTGATGGAGCCGGAGCGGCCAAGCCTGAGGGGGAAGCGGCTCAGCGCTCAGTTCACTGGCTCCACGGCGGACCACCCGAACTTTGGAACTGAACCCGGAAGGGAGCCGGCGGAGGCGCCTCTATAAGCCGGAAGTCCTCACCAGTTTGGGGGGGGGGCAGGTGTGTCATTTCTGCGCAGGCGTGACGCTCTGGTTTCCTGCTTCCGGCCATGCGGGCGGCGCTGGTGGACTACAGCAGCTCCGGCTCGGAGGGCGAGAGCGAAGCCGCCGCCGCCGCCCGGGAGAGGAGCAGCGGGGAGGCTCGGCCTGGCCCGGCGGGCGGGTGCGGCTTCTCCCCTCCGGGCAGCAGGTGAGCTTGAGGGGAGGCCCTGGGCCGCCTCCGAGGAACCAGGCGCCCGGGACGGGGCCCCTCCCTCCCTCCGGGGCCGGTGGCTCTTTCCCCGGAGAGGAGGCCCGGTGCTGGCCGGCCTCCCAGGCGTTCACGGAGCCCGAGGCCCCGCCCCGGAGGCCGCTCCAGCCTTCCCCGAGGCCTTTCTTGGCGGCTCTGCTCTCTTGCTCGGGCTGGGCCGCGCTAATAATGCCTGGAGTAGGGGCCCTCAAACTTGGCCCCTTTAAGACTGGTGGACTTCAACTCCCAGAATTCCCCAGCCAGCTTTGCTGGCTGGGGAATTCTGGGAGTTGAAGTCCATCAGTCTTAAAGGGGCCAACTTTGGAGACCTCCCCTGCCCTGGAGGCTCTGAAGGGCCACAACACACTGCAGTGTGCAGGGGGAGCATCAACACTTCCCAGACTCCAACCAGGTCAACACCAGCCAAGAAGCAGCCTCTGACTTCTTGGGGGAAGATTATTCTTCGTCCTGGTGCGGAAACTCACAAACCATAGTTTCCTTCTGACTTGCAGGTTGAGTCGAACCAACTTGGGTTGGTATCATAAACTTCATAAAACACAATAAGTCACCTTATTGCTGGGTGGGGTCTGGGCAACTGAATGGAGCTAGCAGAGTGTTTTCATGGCCGGATGCCCTTCCTGTCACCAGTGAGGAGTTTTTTTTTGTTCAGCCGATATATTCTCATTGTGCCCAGAGACAGAAATACCTGCCTCTACCTAGGATTGAACTCTCAGCTTCCTGATTGCGAGGTGAGAGTTCCACCTCCAGGCCACAGCACCACTCCCCTTCCATAAACACTCCAAGTAAAACTACAAAGAAGCCAAGCAATCCCAGAGTCGTATGTTCTGGAGAGGGCAGTTCTGCTCTCTAGCCCAGTGAAACACGTCTAGCTGTCGAGTCCCCTTTGGTGGCCAGGCGCTCTTTCCTGAAGGCTGAGAACTTTCTCATGAGACCAGCTGCCATAGTCCCTGCCCAAATATCTGACCTGTTTTTCCTATTTCTTCAGTTGAGATCAGTGGGGAGGAGACTGCCTTAGTCCTTATTCAGAGTTTTGCAGCGTCAATTCAACGCCAGAAAAATAAACACAGATGGCTGATGCTTCATTTAACATCTTTATAAACATAATGAATAGATTTTCCAAACCAGTTGTAGATTTCTCCAACATGGAGCGAACTCAGACAGAAACATGTTGCAAGTAACTTCAGTCGTAACTTCAGCAGCTCAGAAAGAGACGTCAGTTTCACTTTAGTTCAGCAAGCAAGCAAGCTAGTTTCATTTTCAGTAGAGAGACTCGGAGCTTAACATAGCTTTCAGAGCTGCAGAGCTTAATGCAGAGCACTGCCGAGGCTACTTGTAGTTTCAGTTTCCAAACAGCCCTCATTGGCTGACTTAGTTGCTACGCCTATTCATTGGCCGACCTTTTTACCAAGCTCTATTCCAGTTCATTAATACACTCTTGACAGTCCTGCAATACCTCTTTGTTGTGTCCTAACTGGGAAACCCTGCCCTTTCCACTTGCCCTCGCTGGACAAGGGGAGCTGCTGCTGTTGGGCAGGGACATCCAACCTCTGTCTCCCAGGGCTGCTTGTCTTCAGGTCTTTGAGCAGAAAATGCTTCGGCTGCCAACTCTCTCCCTCCATTTTGCAGAGCTGCAATGCCCTCCCTGCCCTTGCCGGACAGCGTGCGGGGGATGTTCAGGGACCAGGAAGAGAAGGAAAGGGTGGAGGATGACTGCAGTAAACATGAAGGCCGCCTGCGGACATTTCCTCATGAACGAGGCAACTGGGCAACCCACGTGTACATGCCATGTAAGTGTCTCTCGATGTTTTCTCCTTCTCGGGAAGAGGAGTGAAGGCCTGGCCTGGCCGTGGGAGTCTTGATAGCTGCCTTGAGCAGAGTGGAACGCCGGAGCGTGGCTTCCCGTGCTTCTGACCTGCCCGGAGAGCGAACGTTTCCAAGCATTTCTAAAGAACGCAACGAAAGAACTTTGGGTTTCTGGGGAAAAAGAAATAACATGGTTTTTTTTCAGTTTGGTGCATTCTTTTCCATAATAAGTGCTTTGTTGATTGGGGAAATGCATTGCAAAATTGAAGGAACTGGTGGGGAATTTAAATACACCCCCCCCCCCCCCCCCCCCCCCCCAGTAATAGTCAGACCACATCCTGGTGTCCCTGAGATTCTCTTATGCCACTCCTGTCAACAGGAGTTGTCTGCCCCTGGCAACTATGGACCCAAATGGGTTCCAGAGGTCACTAGGGGATACTGTGTGTGTGTGTGCGTGCGTGCACAGAGGAACTAGTTGAACACCCAATACACAAAGATTGGTTCCCAGTTGGAGCGTGGTGCAGGTCCATGTGGGTCGCCTGGTGAAGGGGCTTGCTGACTTATCTGGGGACAGTTCGATCCTGTTTGACCCAAAGAAGTGAAGAGAGTCCTCTGCGTGGACAATGCAACCACCTGTCAATTAGTCCCTTGTCCCTGCTGATTGGTTAAAGCCTCCAAGATGGTGACTGGTGGGTTCAGGCCGTGATCAATTCCTCACTGCAGAGAAATGTGCCCCCCCCCAAAGCAATTAATCCAGGTTGTGCAGGAACACAAGGCTGCACTGCCCACATGGCCCACCCACCCGTTGGCCCCCACCCTTTGGCCGAGCGCAAACCTTGCCTTGAATAGAGCCACGTGAGCTGGAACTGGAAGGCGGGGGAAGGAAATCCGCCCTGGGGTGGCTTGCTGACATTGGTGGGAAAGTCGGTCCCCTATTCCAGAGCTGCCGGAGTCACAGGCCTGGCCCTTTGGTCATCCCGGAGCAACTGCTCCTCCAGTCCATGGCAGGCCGGTGCACCCAGGTGGAGAAGCAGCTGCTCCAGGATGACCAAAGGGCCCGTCCTGTGACTCCGGCAGCTCTGGAATAGGGGACCGACTTTCCCACCAACGTCAGCAAGCCACCGTCAGTCAAAATTCATATTAGGGGTCCGCAGGATTTAAAATTATGATGTTGGTGGTCCCTGAGATCCAAAAGGCTGGCGGTCCTTGGTCTAAACTGAAAATAAGAATTTCCTGACAGTGAAACCTATGAAGTAGTGGCGTAGCCTAGGTTGTAGGGCTGGACAGCCATTTCTCTGAGAGGGATCTGAAGATTCCTGGATCAGGCAAAGAGTGGATTGGGAGGTCTGGCAGTAGTCCACTGCATGGTAAGTGGGCAACTCAGTCACGCTGGCCATGGCCTCCCAGGGCGGTCATCTTGTGAGGGTCCTCCCAACCCTGGGATTCGAAGTACGTCTTGGGCCTTTCTGGCATCCTTGGCCAGGGCAAAGAACATTTAAGGCAGTGGTTCTTAACTGGGTATTATTAGGCCACATCCTGTAATTGCTTGTTTGCAAACTGTTTGGGAATGTTGTGCTGTTGAGATGTTTGTGTAAAATAGTAAGAGTTGGGGGAGGAGGGAGTTGGGGTGGAATGGTAATATTATTTGAGCCCAGGAAAAAAAGGGGTAATGGGTTTAAGAGCACCTGTTCTGCTTTTTCTACAGGCAAAGCCGGGGAGGACTTTCTGGATTTACTGCAGCTCCTCCTAATCTGTGGGCGCACTTATGTGCCTCAGCTGAAGGGACAGGAAGAATTCCACATCAGCCTCTCCCAAGGTGTGGTATTGCGCCATCACTGGATCAACTCTTTTGTCCAATCCCTCAAAGGACGCTTGGCTTCCTGCCACAGGTGAGCCCCAGAGGCCATACTGGCAGGGAGTGACTGATAGGACTTACAAGCTGCTTTGGAGAGGTTAGCCGGAGGTTCGCTGGGCTTCCGACAAGAGCAGGCCAGCAGATACGGGCAAGGCACAAACAGGAGCCCATCAGTATTGCTAAATGCCTGTGGGGGAGGATTGAGCATACCTAAAAACCTGCAGGAAGGGACACCTGAGTGGCTGCAAGCAGCGGCATTTCCCTTCTGCAGAGTCTTTCTCAAATTTGGCAAGGTTTGAGCTGCGTGGACTTTAACTCCCAGCTGCAGGTGGCTGCAAATCTTGGTCTTGCTGAGACAGAGAGCCTCTGTTTTACAGTCACAACAGAGCAAAACAGCGATGCTGCAAAAGTGTGCAATCTGTCTGTGGGGCCAGAAGGTTCTGCTCTTTTCCTATGTGTCTTGTGTAGGCCTTTCTGAGGGGAAGGTTCTTGTTTGTTTTTAATTATATATACATCTACAAGGAGTTTTTTGTGTTTCATGCCCCAAGAAAGCAGTAGAAAGCCATGCTGCTCATTTTCACCAGACGTGACAAGAAGGCAAGAAAATTGCAGAAGCTGCTCACTGCGGTAGAGCTCCGCCCCACCCCCCTCGCCCAGCTGACAAACATGCCTTGCAGTGCATGGCGCCTGAGGAGCTCCTGTTCCTCAGGAGTCCTTGACTCTACTTCCCGCCCATGGCAGGGGCAGCCGGGGTCCTTGCAAGATGGCTGCCATGGGGGGGTGGGATATGGCTGGCAGGACTGAGTTGTCGTTTACCACGTAGCAGACTGGCTGCCAAAATGCTGTTGGCCGTTCAGAGAAGCTCTGCAAATAAACACGATGCAAGAGGCTGGTGATTTGCAGACTTCCACTCTCCTCATTAATGGTGATCTTTGGAGATCAGAGTGGCCCTCGGAACCTGCCTCTTTCACGAGCCAAGGGCCCCCGTTTCCTGCCCATGTTGCTAATCGGCCAACTATGTTGCTCTTGTGTATGTTGAATGCGATATTTTTAATGTTTTTCACTGGTTTACTGTTTTTGTTTTTAAAATGTTTTTATTTATTTATTTTTAATTGTAATATATTTTTGGAATTGTAAGCCGCCCGGGGTCATTGAGATGGGCATCTGTAGAAATTGAAGAAGTAAATAAATTAGCCTTGCCCATATCTGCTGCAATGAACAAGGGGAAAGTGGCCCCTCAATGATTGAATTGGCAGGACTGGGTTGGGTCTGAAGCTGGGAAGGGTCCTCAGGGGGTCCCGGAGAAGCAGAGAGTTGGTAGCCCTGGCCTGCAGTCCTCTTGGGTCCCTCTTGTTTCTGCCTTTCGTTTCCAGGTTAGTTGGAATCTCTGCTGTTTTTCAGGTTCATCTTCAGAGCTGACCAAGTGAAGGTTTATACCAATGAGACCAAAACCAGGTGGGTGAAGGATGGTTGATCTTCCCCCTCAAAGAGATCTGTAGAGTCTTGTGGGGTAGAAATGAAACGGACTGGCCATTAGTGTGGGAAGCGTCAGGACTCCGACAGGCAGCCCCATTCAAATCACAAGTCAGAGTGAAAAAGATTCACATATTAGGAGTGAGACGTGTCGGCGTTTCTTGGGTGTAGCTGACTCCAAGACACCTCATTCATTTCCCCCTTGACCCTGGCCTTCCCCCCACCCCCTGGAGGTAGATTCTCCAATGAGACACATCCGTAGCCAAGAGCCATCAATCAGGCTCTTTGCATGCCACAATCCTCAGTTGCCAAAGTGATTTATCTGAAGCCTTTAAGGAATGCACTGCTTTCCCCCACTCCCTTTCTTCTGGCAACTAAAAGGAAGTATCGCTTCAGTTGCATCAGAAAAATATTTCTGGAGGGGAAAAGGAGGAAGACCAGACTGGGTGCGTGTGTGTGTGTGAGAGAGAGAGAAAGAGGGCCAATGTGGTCTCCTGTAGCTTTTCTAACTCCAGGATAGACTCTTCTCAGAGGTTTTCTCTGTTCCTGTTGGGATTCCAAATTGGGCGTTTCTGAATGGCCGTGCTTCTATCCTGAAGAGGACGGGCATTGGCTTCCATGGCACAAGGGCTGCCGGGTCTGGCAGGGAGAAAGGAGCTCTCTCGGAAATGTTCTGCGTGAATGTCCCCCCCGCTTTCAACAAATGGGGGTGGAGGACATTCATCCTAACAAGGACTGCAATTCCAGGCCCAGCAGAAAGTGGCCCTTTGCTGCCTCTTCTTTTCCCCCTGAGCTTTAAAAACCGCCAGCTTGGCATCACCTGAAAGCCATGCACATCTCCAAGGAAGCCCTTCTATTTTCTCTGGGTGCCATGTGCTCTTCTCTTGCGTTTGGGAACTGAATCCATGCAAGATGTTGACCGTGGAAGAGCTGCTGCAAGTTACTCTCTAAAAATCTTCTTGAAGGACCTTCGTTGGCTTAGAAGTCTCTTCAGGACATTCTCAAATGTTGGAGTTGGTTTCAGAAGTGGATGAAGTTATGGAAGAATTTAACCTAACGCCTTTTTATAAGGTGAGGATTGCAGCCATCTGGGGAAAATAGGAAGTTGCTGCTTTAGAATGAGTCTCTGGAGGAAGCTGAACGGTAACTGTTGAATAATCAATTAAGCAGCTGTTTAAATGCACTTCCAACAGCTTTGGTCTTCTTGTTCCCTCCACTGTGCGTAGGGTAGTTAGCATTCAGTTACCAAATGGCTCCAGTTTGCTGTAATTGAAATGTTGGCAGCTGGCGCGCTATGCCTGGGGTTCTGCCTGCTGTGCTTGGCTATGCTGGTGGACCTTCCTCTGATCTTGACCACTGTTGGTTGGTTGTTCATAGGATCCCTCGTTCCACATGAGCCTCGCCTGGTGTGTGGGGAATATGTCGGAAGCCCTTGGAGGCCAGTGTATTCAGGAAATGCAGGTAACCAGCCTGGAAGCCTTTAGCTTTTGGGGAACTCACTGCCAGGCAAGGAGGGGGGAGTCAAGTGGGGAATTAGCCTTGAGTGATTGCACAGCCTCAAGTGGACACTCCCCCCACCCCACCCCAGTTCCTTGGGACCTTATCTGTTTGTTCCCAAGAGAAGGCAAGCCATTTAGGGAGGTTCTTGTATTATAGGCAGAATCACAATGTCAGCATGAACCCTACATTTGCAGTCCTGGTTGTGTGCCTGACAATAGCAGAGGGCTACAGGAGACAGTTGGGTCTCCATACCTGTATCATTCTGTGTCCCAGTTTTGAAATGGACTTGGTTCCAACTTCAGACAAGTTGTTCAAGGGGGATCCATGTTAGTCCCAGATCTCTACCAGTCAGATTGGAAGATCCGGTTTGCTCCCCTTCCTTCTTTCTTCGGTGAAGCCTGGGGTGAGTGTAAAAGCCCAGCTGGCTGTGAGGGATACAGCGGAAGATGGCGACCAGAGGTAGCCTGAGGCATGCACTGATTGATTGGCTTGACCAATCTCTGCATTTCTTGACGCACCTTTTCAACTTGCAGATATGTCCGGGCCATGCAGCCTTTCCTCTCCAGAGGGAATTTCCAAGGGCCCTTACGATTGTTTTAGCAGGGGAAGACTGAGTAGGCAACTGGGATGAAGGCAATGGGAAGGGGGCTCCTGGCATTTCCAGGGATCCAGCCTGGGGGTGGGCTTTAAGCAACTCGGAATGAGGTTGGGGACCAGTGGATGACTGAAGAACTGAGCCAGGCTGGAGGAGAAAGTTGGTGCTGATGAATTCTGCCAGGCTGTTCTTATTTTGCCTCCTTCTCGTTGCAGGAGATTGTGGATGGCTTTGAGGACTCCACCCACTTGCTGCGAATTCCTGGGACTGAAGTCCGTTGCAAATCTGGCAATAAGGTCTTCTCGTTCCCTCTGCGATAGAGCAGCCCGGGATCAACAACTGCCGACTTGCGACAGGAACCATCCAGAGGTGGTCAGAGGTGCCACTGGATTCCCATGAAGTCCACTAATGGACTCAACTCCCTGTCACGGCAGCAGAGGCCACCCAGTAACAGGACATTTCAGGGCCAAGGCCATTCATGCCCTCAGAGCCTCTGCCAGGCCAGCTCCTCCTTCGCTCCACTCCAGTTCTCGGCTGCTGGAGAAACCAAGTAGGGGAGCCAGTGGGATGTTTCTCCAAGCTGCAGGACTTTGTCTTGTAGACGGCTGATCTAGGGGCGAGAGGCCCTCCGGTGGGATGCCTTGGGCAGGGTGTCTGGTCCTTCTGAGAGAGAAATTTAAAAAAGGAGAGCCAATTCTCTTCATGGTCAGTTTCAGACGCTTTGCTGAAAGGGTTTGTCAAAGCTTCCTGGATAAGTGACTGCTCTGAACCCGCTTTGATTGTTCTGTTGGAATTGGGCATCCAGATATGCCCAACTCACAAGAACTGGGAAAGGTAAACTCAGTGGGATCCATGCTTATTTCCCTGCACTCTGGAGAGGAACCGGGCAGGGCTGTGGAAAAAGACTAACCTTGTTCCCTTGAAGAGCATGATCTTGGTAATTTTGAGATTTGTCTCTCACATTCTCATGATCCGAGAAAGAAACTTCTGAATGCAATAAATCGAAACACTGGCTGAGAAATTTGGTGGGGGCAGATTACGGACCTGAAATGTTGCAAGTTTTTGGCTTTGTCAGTTTCTTTTGGCCCTCCCTAATTGGGATCCCTGCAGTAGTGCCAACTTCAGCTCCTGTGATCCCCCAACAGTACCCCTTGCCCTTTGGGGATACGGGAATTATTGCCAATGTCCTCTCGTTGGGCTTTGGATCCCTTCTATTAAATGGCATCTTGTGGGACTGAGGAAGTGGGCCTCTTCTGCTCAATCCATCCCCTGGGACCACCCTCCCCTGGGGTTCCCAAATGCCCCCCAAGAGCTGTTGTGTTGGTGGGACCCTGTTGGGTTTATATTTGATTGTTTTAGTCTGGGCTGCCTGGGGAGTGTTATGTTTTTGACTTTATTGTTTTGTGTTTTGTAAGCTGCCTATAGACTGGGGTGGACGGCTGTAATAAATTGAAATAAGTAATATATTTTCTTATCAAAAGTGTACTAAGCCAGAATGAAATATGAATGTTAAGCCAGAATTTTTCCAATCCCTGATACATTATTTCTCTTGTAACTAATGAATAAAGACCCGATTGTCTGTCTGTTTCTGCCTGTCTGTCTTATTATTTGGAACATTCACATCACATTTTAACAAAAATACAAGAGATGCCAATACAAAATATGAAATACATGTATGTCTTGATTACAGATACAATTTTTGCTTCATTTGTCTCCATTATTTTGGTACTCTGTGACTTACACGGTGCACAGTTTGTTTTTCAGCCCCTCAGTCACAATTCGGTTGGTGGTATTTTGCCTCACTCACCCAGGACATCTGCCAATCATCCGTGGCCGGGGCAAATGTGGTTCAGTGGTGTCCACATCGCACAGGCGGGTCAAATCCTGGTGGCTTTTCCAAGTCGAGGGGCAAACTTGGACACTCGGATCAGGCCAAATATTGGGTGCAGGTTGGCTCTTGTGGGGCTCCACTGTAGTGTGAAGTTTTGTTTTGGCAGGGATCCTGAAGGGCCCAGAACAGGCTCCCAATAGCTGGCTGGAGAATTCTGGGAGTTGAAGTTTGGAGGCCTGTCCTGGAACCTCTCCGAGGGCATCTTCTCCCGTGTTGGGCCTGGGAAATCCACCTCCGGGGCCCATTCAAGTTTGCAGTTTGAGCAACTCCTGCGACCGGCGGCTCTGGCGGGGCAAAAGGGTCCCTCCCAGCGCCCGCCGCCCGCAAGTGCCCCGCCAGCCGCTTCACCGGCGGACCGCGATCAATGCGGGCCGCGCCGCGAGGGGTAGCCGCGGAAAAGGGGCCTCCGGGCTCCTCCAACCCGCCGCGCCCCGGCTGGCCGTTAGGCGGCGGCCCCGTCCGCGCCCGCCGGAAGCCCAGCCCAGCCCAGCCGGGCCAGGGGCGCAGCGGGCGGCGCTTGGCGGCTGCGGCTCAGGGGGCGGGCAGCGGGGCGGCTGCCGGACCGAGCCCCGCGCCAGCCCAGAAGGCCGCGGCGGGGACGGCCGCGCCAGCCAGCTGGAGAGCGAGCGAGCGGCCGAGGCAGCACCAGCATGGGCGGCGGGGCCCGGTGGCTGCCGCTCCTGCTGCTGCCGCTGCTGCTGCTGCTGGTGCCGCGGGGCGAGGCGGAGCCGGCGCTGCTCGAGGCGGAGGAGGCCGAGGTGGGTGCGGGGCGGGCGAGGGCGGCGGTCCGAGGGGCTTCCGTGCCCGCCGCACCTGCCGCTGTCCTGGGCGGCCCCGGCGCAACTCTCGCTGCCTTGCAGGCCTGGCTGCGCTCCTACGGCTACCTGCCCGCCGCGCCCCGGCAGCCCTCCACCCTGCGCGCCGCGCGGAGCCTGGCGGCCGCCCTGGCCGAGATGCAGGCCTTCTACGGCATCCCGGTGACCGGCCTGCTGGACCAGGAGACGCGAGCGTGAGTGACGGGCCGCCCCGGG